TTGGGGCACTCAGAGTCTCAAATAACTTATTGTTGCGGCAACCAGAGTCTCATTTCTTGTTTAAAAAGATTTCTTAATATAAAGCTCGACCGTAGAGCGGTCGGAATAATTAGCAATAGTCTTAGTATTCCCTGATCGTCCCCGAATATCCCTGTATCAGTGTGCTTCTTCTGGACACAAACTATTCATTCTGGTCCCTGAGTCGCAGCAGTTGCGTGATTGAGGATACAGGACTTCATTTCGCGCTCGGCGCAAAAATCCTGCTATTCAGGATCCCGTATTTATGGAAGATTCTTAAAGCAAGGACCTCGTGAGCCTTCCCACCGGGACGAGGGTTGAGGGTCGACCTCGTAGAACTCTCTTTGACAGTGGTTCCTGCATCTTCTTCGTGCAGAGCACCCTCGATCCTACACGCGAGCCCTACACGGCCCGCCGTCCCCCCAAACTGAGTAATGTAGGGGCTTGGATGGCTACTACCCACAATATTCTCGAGGGTAGCTGGTGATAGCAATCCTAGAACACGCCCCAAAAATCCCTGTTCTAATCATTTAGGCCCTTACTTTATGGATTTTGTTGCCTATCTCAGAGTCTCAGGTGGGTTCAACTGGCCCGGCGATGTGGCTGCCAAGCGCCTAAAGCCTTCAACGGAAGCAACCACTGCAGATATTTTGCGATCCGTGCGTGCGCCGCCAAAAGGCTTAAGGGAATCGGGTTAGAGCAAGGAGGTATTGTCATAAGGACGCTTTGGGGAGTAGGCGGCAAAAAAGAAGCACCTAGACATTCCCAAAGAATCCCTAAAACCCCCGAGGCCCAAAGCGCCTTTCCTTTGGGGCTCCAGGAGTTGACGCTTGTGGGCCCGATGCCCTACCTGGACCCTACAAAACCCTACCTTTTTATAGGGCTCCTTAGATTTATGATGTTTTGGTGTAGGTCCTTGAGAGGGCAGAAATGAGGTCTTTATGTAAGTCCTTAGAAGGGTAGTAATGATTTCTATATGTACTTCCTGAAAAGGGTCGTTATGATTTCTTTATGTAGGTCCTTAAAGAGGGCAGTTATGATTTCTTTACGTAAGTCGTTAGACGGGTAGTTATATGATTTCTTTATGTAGCTCCTGACAAAGGTAGTCTATTTGGGGGTTCCCGAAAATAGGGGACCCTAAAATAATATCCTAAATAGTAGGATCCTTATTATAAGGACCCCGAAATGGTACCCTAATTTTCGGCAACTCCCATTTGGGTGGTTGTCAAAATTATGCTCCCTGTCTGGGTCCTTATTATAATACGGCACCTATTTTTTTAGGGTACCCCAAAAGGGACCATAATTTTGACAACTGCCCATTTGGGGTTTTGGGAGGGCAACACCCTAAACTCGAAAGCCTAAGACCGAAACTCGCGGGGTCCTACGCTGCTCAGAGAAGTACCAGGTGAACCCCGAGCTGCAGCCGAATGCAAGGGTTTAGGGCTTTAGGGTTCAGGGTTTAGGGTTTTAGGGTGTGGCGTTTAGGACTTTGGGGTTTCCGGGTTTAGGCTTTTAGGCTTTGAGGGTTTAGGGCAAGGCCTCCGCACTCACATATATTCACCGTCAAGAGTCAAGAAGACCAACTGGTGCGAAGTTGATTGTATTGAATTCTATTCTATTATTTATATTAAATATGGTGTAGTACTCATTTTAGCAGAAGCCTCCGCTTTGTTCGAGCCGTTTGGGCTCAGACATTTTTTGTGCATAAAGCACAGCCATCCGAACCCTTTTTCTCCTTATTATACGGATGGCATCCAAGCGCAGTGTTGCGGCCGTGGGTGCGGCGCTGAGCTTTGTTGAGGTCAGGACACAACCTTCTTCAAGGGCGGGATAGGGCTCAAGGCTTCTACGCAGTTGTCACGGCTTCTTGAAGTTAAGGAAGGTAGCATGAGATGCTATGAGACGGTGTCATGGGGGATCATCGAATCCCATCTTGACAACGGGTTAACTTCAGGTTGGAATCGAGATGTAAGTTGTGATGGCAAGACCATTTCTACAAACTGTGCCTTCTGATCCCTAAACCCTAAATCCCTAAACCCTCCTCTCATTTTCCTCAAGTGAGTGAGTGTCCAGGACAGTATTTACGATCACTACCACGACTGTGGCTCCGCCTTTCAGAGCCGAAGTCCGTTAGGACTTACCCAGAGAGCCCAATACCCCTTAATTAAGGTATCTAGCTTAAATCACAATGTGAAGCCCCTTATAATTTAAGGTCTATTCCTTAATTAAGGGGTATTGGGCTCTCTGGGTAGGGTTAGGACCCTACACTTTACCTTAAAACAACCCCGAAAATCCGGACGCCTCCAGAATTGAATCCCGAGCCCCGAAACCCAAACCCGGAAATGCCCTATTTCATGTAGGGGCCTGAATAAACACCAATATCATTTTCGGTGTTTCTTATTATACTTATACTATAATAAAGGAGCCCCAAACCCTGTTCCAATTAGTAAATAAGGCCCCTTAGGTTAAGCCCCAAAACCTCTTCTGAAATTCCGCCCCAAACCCTCAACAAAAGGCCTGGCTGGCGTCGTGGCGGGAAGCGCCTTCATTGCAGGAACCAGCAGCCAGCCGCGACGCGCCTCCGCCTTTTCCTGCCCAGTGAGCCCTTTTTCCCTTGTTGAAGTCTTTAGGTTCCTTATAAAGGTATTCAATGCCAAAAAGGGAGCCCTTTTCAATCCTAGGTTACTGGGCA